ACGACGCTCGAATAACGTGGATATAGACTTTGAATAAAATATATTATTGTGGAAACGTAGAAACGTTCAATTAGAAGATACACTTGTCTCGTTAGATTTCGTTTCTTCGCAATTTTCTTTTCGTTTAGATTTTCAGTTTGCACGAGAATACATACTAACTTAGAAAGATTATAGACTAAATATACCACAATCGTTTGAATCTTTCCAATTGTATCAGTCGTATTGCCAATCATCTTGAAATTGATCACTCGAGAGATTAGTTGAGTAACACGTTCACTGCCACGAGGAAATTGTTTCCTCGATGCGGCCACGGTGGTCATCAGTGACCGGAGGGCCTCAAATGTTTAGAATAATTAAAATAAAATGAACGTCGAACATCACAGCTAACTAGACATTATTTTGAATTTAAAAGTAGTAACAATACTCCATCGACAGACAACAATTCAGCATAAGACCCACCTTGTGCGACAACCTGAGGTTCTGCAAATCGACTCAGAACTTACTGTACTACTTAAAGCATACCAAATTGTATAATAAACTGTGAACCTAAACATTAAGTCGCTAATAACTCATAAATGTGGTTGATGCTACTTTAAATAACCAATTTAAAAAAAAGAATACTACGCTTAGAATGATGAAAATTTTCATCTGGCCCCCTGAGCGAAACACGTAAATCCGGCGTGGCAGTGAATGTGTTAAAAATGAAGAGTTAATTAAGTATCGCTATAATACGACATCTGAGACATTTTACAGGGTTTCAAGAAACAATCTGGCACGAAATCGAACGGGACAACGACTTCCATTACCTTCTTGACGCGACGTTCCATCTAGTGACAAGTGATCTCGAGCTTCTCGAGGAAGATTTTCGCGGGCACACACGGTACTCGCGGGAGGCGTGAAACGCGTCGTTTCGTTGCAACGTGTATGCGGCACGTGTGCGGACACGCTTCACGGTTCACGCGTAGTCGTGCAATTTCTTCGACGAAATGGAAGAGATCGATGGCACTTTGGCAAGCCACCAGAGCGTCGCTCGATCGTGCAAGACGAGCCTGGCCATCCGTTGCATATCTATCGTAGCCACGCGACGATATATACGCGAGTTCCTCGCGGAAGACGGGCACAAACTGTCTAGAAATGCCGGTGAACGAAAAGAGATCGCATCAGCTCCGGTTCACCGGTAAATGTTTGTCTTCGGAGGAATCGTTTCGTTCGCTTCCACACGCACTCGCGTTGATTGATGCGTTTCCTTTCCTAAACTGCTTTCGCTTCTCCATTCGATGGTGTATTTTTCGAGAGCACAGTATTGTCACTTAGACGATTGGAAGACGGAGGGCGAAATAATTGTCGCGTGATACAGTATGTAAATTTTGGTCGTTCGAAAGTAACATTCTTCACAATGTGCAAATTTTGGTCGTCAGAAAGTAGAGTAAATTAATTCTCCGAAAATTTCATGTAATACAGTGTTTAAATTTTGCTCGTTACAATGTGTCGTCTAGGAAGACACTTGTGACTATTGATGCAATAGAATAATTGAACACAGCTTGCGACGCAAGCGTGATAAACGATAACAGTGAGTTAAAACTTCCGAGTCTCGTTACACGATACGACACCGCTTTGTTTCGCGAGATAATTATGAGTAGGTACTCTGTCTACCCAGTAATTAACACCAGTGTACGTACAGTAAGAGCCGAAACTTTGGGATCGTCAGCTAATTCATTAATTTCAGTAATAAAAAAATTCTTAAACAATTCGTCAAGCTGTTACCTTTATCTAGAAAATTTTGACCGATAGCGTATGTAATCTTATTAGAAAATACGACATCGATCAGCGTCTCTACACACCGATATTGAAGACAGACTTCTCACGTACGAAACAACACGCAACCTGGTGCAACGCTCTAGCCAAACTCCCCAAGTCTCCTAACTCCAAGCTAAATTACGTAGAATCACGAGCGTCATTTTCAATTACGAGCAAGATCTACCACGGTCTACAATTTCTATCGAGAAAAGCCTCGAGGAGAACTCCAAGTGGAATTCGCCGATCGCTTACGATCGTTTCGCGGAAAAGAATCCAATTTTGGCGTACCCGGTGTGAAAAGCTGTCCGGCTCTTTCGCGAACTTCAGGAGGAAATTGAATTCCTGGCGATAGTTCGACGTCGGGCAATTATCGGTGATTTAACCGGCGCGGCGAGCGGCGTGCCCGTGGGGGCGGTTAAGAAACTTGACAAAACTGGACGCAGAAAATCGTTTCGCCTGGTGTCACGTTGCGACAGGCCGCCGTGGGATTTCACACTTTCCCAGCTCGCGGACCAGGCGAAACCGCTGTTTTGCGGCCTCCTGCGGAACCGCGAAGAAAAATAGACGCGTTGATAGGCGTTTTTCGTTCGTGCTATGGTTCGTTGCCCGCGTCGAGACGCGTACTCTTACTTTCCAGGGAATTTCACCGGCTGGAAACCGGCGTCGAACGATTTCACTGGCAGCTAGGCTCGCCGTATATCGCTATGCAAAGTGACCGTGACCCTATCTCGTACACGAGGGCAACTCTGACTCTATCAGAAGCAATTTTCATGATTGCCGCGTTAACGATGGCGTAACGATTCGTTCCAACCTAGCGACAACTCTTCCGGATCGTGAAGGATCTGTGGCGGGTACGTCGTCGTCAACAAACCCTTACCGAACCTCGTTCTATTCTTCCGCGCGAATTTTCTCTTTTCCAACTCCTTCAGATTTTAGTTTCCGTTCTATTGTCTCTCCCCGGGTTAAGACTTGCCTTCGTCCTTGAGTAGCCTAAGAAGCGCACATATGGCATCCAGGTTCGCACGAGGACGAACGAATTTTCCGTTTCCACCACTTTCTCCACTTCTATCTTTATCTATCGCTACTCCTGTCTCCCTGTCCTAACAATATACCTAAAACCCCAGTACGCCTACACCTCCGGACAGTTTGTTCCTTTACCGACCATCGCGACGTACCCGCCGAACCGCTGCCGCCGGGACAATCAACAACGTAAACGATTGTATATTCTGGACAAATGGTACGCCTATGCGACCACACACTTATACTTTACTCACCCACCTCAGATCAATCTGGAACGCGATCGATGTGATTCGCGTTCGAGTTAGAGAATGTGAGTTTACCGTGAAATTTATATGCAAAGTCGTTTTTTTTTTTAATTTATCTACTTAATATATAGCGTTATTTTATTAGAGACGTTATTCACGCGGTTTGTGGACACGATGCGATAAATCTTTCTAACTGATCCCGTACGCACTGGTATAAATGGTTATTGCGAAAATGAACGGTAAACCATGACCATATCGGCGTTTTTTCGTTGGAAATGAATGAGTAGCACGTATGAATGAACAGCGGCACGTTTGAATTTATTATGACTCTGTGATGACAGACTGTTTCATCGTTCTAACATATCGCAATAAACCGCCGTTGTGTGTTTTCACCGCGGTTTTCCGTCACGCGTAACGCATGCCGACTTGACGATCCTCTCGTGTAAATTGTCGAACCTTCTTGTCGCGCGTAATTAAGTGTATTCTGATACTGCAACGCTGCCTGTGTAAATGCGTTACGTTATTGCAGCCATGCGTTTCCATGCATTTACTGGCGGTTTCACATTACGCAACATAATGAGTTTTCAAGTGATACTTTGCAATCGTCTTTTTATCTCGATATCGCGATTCATCCAATCACCTTTCGCCCTGGTATCACATGTCCCGATATTTCACATTTATCACCTTTTTCCTACGTAAGTTTTATCGTCGAAGTTTTCATATTTACAACGATTGGTGGAACAAAAACAGGAAATAAAAACGAGTCGATTCAATGAACGCTGAAGCAAGAGGTTTTCGTTATAAAAATCTACAGAATCTAAGCACTCGAGGCGTTAAGACGGAAATAAAAGAATTTTTGCTATGAAAAAGTAGAATCCATTTGTAAAGATTCTTTATCGTTTCGTATCGAAAATTCTTTTCACATTAACCGAACAATTCACTCAATATCTGTTTACCTAATACCACAATCTCTTTAATGCCTCGAAGTTCTCCTATCTTATCGACACGTGGTCACCCTAGACACCCACGAGTATGTACAATGCTACCGAAAAACGAACAGCGCGATTCTCGAACAAGTTTGCACCCCAAGTCACCCTCTGACATAGGGAAACCGAGTTTGCAAATACGACTAACGGCAGCCTGAGAGCAGGATGTTTGTCATTATGCAGCGAGATTCACTTGAGCATATCACAGGCGTCAATATCTAAATCACTGCCTGTAGAGATAGTAACAGTAGAGTTTTCATCCACTGACCGGTTCCAACCGAGTTGCTTATTACGGTTCAATATACATTCGCCTTATTCTCGAATGGGACGAGAGAGCATGAAGAACGAGCGAGAGTTGATAATCACCGTGATGACCAACCCACCGAATGTAACAAGAAAATTAACACTAAACGTACCACGCCAGGTTTCAAAATTTCATTTAAAACCATTCATCTGTTTTGTCCCCTTCTTGTTAAAAATAAAAATGTAAATATGTAAATTTTTTTTTATTATTATCTAAAACCTGTATTACTTTAGGAAAAATATGATTATTTCATATCCGGTCATTTGACCGCCTACGGTAAGAATAGGTATACATGAAGTGTCGGTAAGATTAGTGTTAAAGAGACACTGGCCTATCGACCTGCCACAGCCACTAGAAGAAGAAAACTAAAATCGCCATAAGTCATCTATGGCAACTACAGAGTATCATCGCTGGATCATACCTCTGCACACGTTTAACTCTTACAACCTACTCCCGCTGTTAATAAATGCGAAAAAAAAAAAAAAGAATCGTTAATACCAGAGTGAGAAAGCATTATCCACGTTCAAATTTTTTCTTTTATTAAACGACGTCATTGTTCATTTGTCGACTTGAAACGAAGAAGAGGGGGTAGCGAGTTGCTTATTGCAAATCAACACTGTACCGAGACTATTCTCGCTCAATGATTCAGCAGTAAAGAGTCTAGTTTATAGCGTAGCATTGTTGGAGTGCGCATTACATAAATTGATGACGAGAAGATCTTCCTTTTAGTGAGCCAGCAACCGTCACATGCGACAGTTCTTCTTGATACGAGAAACATGAGGTCGAACATCTCCGGTTTGTTGTTCGTTGCGTGTGTTCTGTGTGCCGCGAGATATTCGGAAAGTGCGAGGATTTTGGCCGTGGTACCGACAGCGTCTTACAGCCATCAGATCCCTTACAGACCGTTATGGATCAGTTTGAGCAAACGTGGTCACGAAGTGGTCCTTGTCACCCCGAATCCTATCGAGAATTACAAAGCGCCGAATTTCACTCAGATCAACATCAGTCAGACTTACTCGATTTTAAAGGCCATCGATTTCGTCGATCTGCGTTTCAAAGGGCAAACCTGGTTCGATTTCTTCGACGAACGACTGTTAGATATATCTAATGACTTCGCGGAATCGGTGTTGAACAACACGGATTTACGGAAATTGTACGCACCGGACAGCAACGTTACGTTCGACGTTGTCTTGGCCGAGTTCCTCTTCATGCCTGCTACGTACGCCCTTGCTCATAGATTCAACGCTCCTCTAATAGGTATTTCTGCAATGTTTCATTTTTCTTCTTTATCTGTGAATTAATTAGATACACGAGGGAAGAAGTAGTTTCGATTGTATCTTTCGCGTTGGAATCTAGAATCGACACTGTTCTTTTTCTAATCTGCTGTGATAAAGGTACTTCAGTTGATTCCATCATTCAGGAAGGTTTCGTTAATTTTTTCATGGTCGATATTTAGAGAATCGAATGAACTAAATTTGGAAAGCTGAAAAATAAAATTTTCCTGTTACCACTGTACTATATAAAGAAAATTAACTTGCAATTTTGTCACTCTGGAAAGTACCCTTTAATGGCGGTAAAGCAGAGTCATTTCAAAATATTTCGTAACTTTAATCACGGTGAATATCAGCATTCTCAGGAGTAGAGAATAGAGTGAACTAAATTTGAAACGTTAAAGATTTAAATTTTCGTGTCACCTGCGTACTACATTAAAAAGAAATTGACTTGCAATATTCTCACTCTGAAAAGTGCCGGAATGACTCGCTTAAAAATATTTCGTCATTTTACTTACGGTGAATATCAGCAATCTCAGGTTTAGAGGACAGAATAATCTGAATTTGAAACGTCAAAAATTAAAATTCTCATATCACCATCGTACCTATTATATTAAAAAAAGATTGACTTGTAAAAGCAACGTAACACGTTAAGGACAATGAAAATTGTCCGGATCGAACTCGTTAATACGACGATCGTGAACAACTTTAAAGTTAAGAACAACCCTAACGACCTAGTCTCACCACGTTTCACATGACCGTAGGGTTAAGCTCGTTAGGGCTGGTTGCCGCTAATGAACACGCTCTTGGCGGACTTGTGCTGTCTTCTCACGAGTACAGATGGGAAATGGAGGCGAATACAGGCTCAAATTTGCCGTTCTTCAAGAGGGTGTGGAATTACGTGACCTTATGGCGCAGCGTTTACATCATTTATCGCGATCTCTTCCCGAAACAGCAACAGATAGCCGAGAAATACTTTGGCCCGCTGCCTTCTGTCTTGGATATGACGAAGAACATTAGCATGATTTTCGTCAATGAACCGAACGTTCTTACACCGGCTTCGCCAAAACTGACGAACATGTTGACGTTCAGCTCGTTCCATATAGACGAAAATCCTAAACCTTTGCCAAAGGTACGATTCGTCGAAACAAAAATATCAACTTTTATACTTTCAAAGGATCGACAAATGTTTTTCTTCTTTTCTCTGATCGTTACGAACGAGTTTGTTACATCCACTTTGCTCACAGGATTTGCAGAAATTTTTGGACAGCGCGAAAGACGGAGCGATCTACTTCAGTTTGGGCAGTAACGCGAGAAGCGCAGATTTACCTAAGGAACTTCAACGCATGTTCTGCGATGTGTTCGCGAAGTTGCCGTACAAAGTCGTGTGGAAGTACGAGGAGGAGCTAGTTGGGAAACCCGACAACGTTTACGCAGGAAAATGGTTACCACAGCAAACTATTCTTAGTACGGTTGCGTCTTCTATTCAATTTCCAATTTCACCCTTTCGCTGCCGGCAGATTTTAATACCTAACTTGCCTGGCAGACGGTCAATTTTTGACCGAGGCTGGGAAATTTCTCGTCTCGGCCGTATCGTTTTGCTGAATTAAGATAGAAGTGCGTAAATGATAAAATTGAGCATTGAATTAAGGTGGAAATACACCAAAATGTTCCAAATAAATAGCAACGAAAGGGTTAAAAGGTGCAACATTTCGGTTTTCTAATTAAACTAACGTATTACATCGTTTTGCAGCTCATCCGAATGTTAAGCTGTTCATATATCAAGGAGGTTTACAAAGCACCGAAGAAACTGTTCACGCCGGAGTTCCAATTATCGGCTTTCCTGTATTAGCTGATCAGGATTACCAAATAGGCAGAATGGATGCCCTTGGCCTTGGAAAGCGTTTAGAACTGCTAACCGTGACTAAAGACGAATTTGAGAGTGCCATTCGGGAGATCATAACTGACAAAAAGTAAGTGTACGCTAAGTTCGAGCTGTGTTTAAACGGTGCAAAAGTTCAAATGCATTCGCAACATCTTGACCGTTTAGAATGACTTTCCTGATATTTAAGTAGAAGAAAAAAAAAGATTTGTTTTGGAATGCTAGGAAAACTTCGAATTTTTCTAATTTCCTTCTAGCTTTATCTTTACACGTAGATAGCTGTTCACAGGCCGAAGTGGTTATCTCCACTTGAGCACTTAAAATAAATTTCCTTAATAAATAAGCTTAACTCCGCTAAATGTCGAAAATTTTTATGGTAGTTGAGTAATAAATAATTTATTATAAATAGTATTAATATTAATTAATATAATAATAATAATAATAATTGATATTAATATTAATATTTGGTGTATGCAATTTCGTCAGTTTAGTCTACTTTGTGTTTCATCGAGTTAACCGATTTGGCAAACGAGCTATTGCAGAAGCTGCAACAGAAGTCAATTAACTAGCGCGTGTATTGTGTAATACTACGCTTGTCTGTGTTCAACATGCATGACTTATGCATTACATAACCGAAGTCTATTAGAACTATCTTATGACGAGTTGTACAAAGATGACGTGCAAACTTATACTAATGCGTGTACACTATTAATGTGTGGAAAATTATCGTAGTTTTAAATTTAGCAACGTTTACACATAGGTAGAGTTTAATTTTTCTATTTTCATATCATGAGATTGTAGATCATTAAGAGTAATTAAAAACAATTTTATTTTTTTAATTCAGTCACATTGATATACAATTCTTCCAACTACATCATTAGTATGTCTTAATAGTCGTAGCAAATTTAGCAATGTTTACACATGCTTGGATTATTCATTTTTTCATTTTCATATCGTGAGATTATAGATCACTAGAAATAATTAAAAACAAATTTTATTTTTTTAATTCAGTCACATTGATATACAATTCTTCCAACTACATCATTAGTATGTCTTAATAGTCGTAGAAAATTTAGCAATGTTTACACATGCTTGGATTTTGAATATTTTTATTAGTCATATCACGAGATTATAGATCGTTATTTTTTTAATTCAGTCAAATTAATGTAGAATTCTTGCAACTACATTATTCTTACGTCTATTTTCAGGTATAAGGAGAGAGTTTTGTACGTTCAAAGGGTCATCAAAGACACACCGTACGACTTGGTGGACAATCTCGTATGGTGGACCGAATACGTGATCCGTACGAACGGTGCACCGCATCTTCGCACGAATTTAGCCTGGCAACCGTGGTACCAGCGTTACGACATGGACGTCGTAGTCTTCCTAACAATCATCGCCTTTTTGATCGTTTCAAATATGTTCAATTTAATTGCCAAGCTTATCGTGTACGTTTACAGGAGGTATCAAGTGTCCACGGGTGAAAAACAGAAAATTAGTTAATCAAGCGTGAAACACATTTATAGAGAATCGTACGCTATTTTCAAATACACAATATCGTATTATACACCTACGTATATACGAGTAATAATTTAGATAACGATACAAAAAAACAAACTGACACAGTTCACGATAACGAACTATACCCGGTCAAAAGGTAACGATTTTCGATGAGTTAATTAATTTTCAAATCTCAACTTATCGTTTCGACGAATCATCGAAGTTCCAATATGCACCGACTGGTGATGACAATTGTTTTCTTTTGCTCAGTGAGCGAGATAGCTAGAGGATGATAGATAGATCTTAGAAGATAGTGAACAAAATGGTACAAAAAACTATACGCGAATTTGAGAAACGTCGCGACGTTTCTGCGTTTATTCAGCTTCGCGCGCGATGTAACAGTTACATCGGTCGCGACGCGAGTAAAATTCCAGATGTAATTAACGTTTCGAGTCGCTTTACTCGCGGTATCGGTGCTAATCAACGTTGGAATTCTAGAAACCAAAGAAGGTTGCGCAATTGCTCCGGATGGATGGAATTCTTTTCCATTTGTCGCGTTCTCGTCGATGATTACTTTAACGAGATGTACATCTTGTAACAAGCAAACAATTATTTTACTGAAAAGCAAACGAATAAATATGTTTTTTTAAATAAAATCGTGTTAATTGCTTCGTAGAAAGGACTTTTACATTTCTCGTTCTGTCGCGTTAGAAAAAGAGCAAAATCACAGTTTGCCCACTATGGTAATATACTGTAAGCTTATATTTGATCCTCTCTAAAGTTCAAATCGCAACGAGCCGTTCCGCTTCATTTTGTGTCTTCGCGAAGCTTTTATTGGCCTGTCACAACTTTCGCTTTGAACCGTTACGGGGACATTTCCCGGGAGTAATGTTCTTCGATTACGTTTCTTCAAGGGTTCCAACTTCATTTATTGGTGAAGTTGAACGATTGATTGGAAAGTCCCGCTAGTTATGAACGATTTAACGTTTCCCGCCCGAGTCCCACGGAGTGAGTTCTCCGTGAAACATCTTATTATTATAATTGACAGTTTCCTGCGATAATTCCGTTCGTCGAAGATGGATTCGAAATATCGTCGAAAATTCTCAACTCGACGAAACGGACCCTCGGAAACGGAAGAGTCTGGAAAGTTCGAAAAGATTTCACGTTGTCGCCTATTGTTTGGCAATAATCACTTTGGAGAATTGCAAGTTGTCACTGCCGACTGCGACAACGCGTAATTACAGAAGTTTCTTCGCGTAACGAATGTATTTAAGTAGCAATAACTTCATTCGCGAGTAGTTTGACGTAATTATGACATATACACTACCGACCAAAAGTTTGGAATCACTGTGCATTGCAAGTTACACAAAAATTCTGAGAAAAAAGTCAGCAGCTTTAAGAATTTTTTAACGAATTTTGTATCATTCAAATCAATCGATATGAGATAAAGTGCTGTTTATCTCCACAATATCAACATCAAGTCTATGAAAAATTAGTAGCAGATTCAGTACCGATGAAAATTCGGAGGTGAATCCAAACTTTTGTCCGGTAGTGCACGTGCGCGTTCTAGAACATGTGCCCGCTACGGTTTCTCAAGGAAAAGCCAATAAAGAATAAGCATATCACACCTCACGTGTATATGCACTCAATTTCCTTTTAAACGCCGGTCAATAATTAAAAACGGCCCCCGGTCTACGGCAGAACAACTCAGCAATTCTAGCCGCCTCTGTCATCGTCACCCGGAGATAACCATGTATATTTCAGTAACTCGATGCTTATGTTAAATTTCATTTATGATAACGAAGCAAATTGCCCCTCGATATTTCCCCGGGTGAATTTTACATCGGTAGTTCCTCTCGAACCGACAACATGAAGTTCACATCCGCGTTCATACTCTCCGTTCTACATATTTTCTGCATTGCGAGGCGTGTAAACGGCGCCAGAATCTTAGCAGTGATACCGATACCAGCGTACAGCCATCAGATACCGTTTCGACCGTTGTGGCTGGAATTGCACAAAAGAGGCCACGAATTAGTGATCGTCGCGCCCAACGACATACCCAACATGAACACGACGACGAACTTCACACAGATCAACGTTGGTAGTGTGTACTCGACGTTCAGTGATGTCAGCTTCGTGAAGATGCGTTTGAACGGAACGTCCTGGTTATCGTTCATGAAAAATGACCTCCTTTATTACGGTACAACGGTCACCGATCACACGTTAAGCAACCCGGACTTGAAGAAGCTGTACGCACCTGAGAGTAACGAGAAGTTCGATGTCGTTTTTGTTGAACTGTACTATTTACCAGCCATTCATATGTTGGCTCACAGATTTAACGCTCCTCTTATAGGTACTTATGTCGTGTGTTGATGTAGTACGTGTCGCGATATGTGTCTAACGAGGTTCTGAAATCCTGGAACTGTAGAATTAATCGACGATTCTGCACTGTATTGCGTTTTGGGTTTCTTATGACTAACGGTATTTGATTTACAAGTGGAAAATTTAGAGCTTCTCCTTGTGTCTGAAATAAACATTTGACTAGTGAGTTTCAGTTTTTTCGAAGCTCTGGCCGAGGTTTCAGATTCTTAATACTTTCGTGACAGTATTAAATTTTTTAAGAATTTGGTATTTATTTACCGATCATCGTGTCTGTAATTTCTCTACATTGTATTGCGTTTTGGGTTCCTTCGACGACTTGTGACTAACGGTATTTCATTTACAAGTTGAAAATCTGTAAACTTTTGCTATTTTTTGGAATATTTCGAGATTCTCTTTGTGTCTGCAGCAAAGCTAAAGCTAGTGAGTTTCAAACATTCTTTTGTAAGCTCTGGGCGAGGTTTCGGTTTATTAATATTACAAATATTAATTAAATTTTTTAAGAATTTGGTATTTATTTACCGATCATAATTAAATTCGGATCAATTTTTGTACAGAGTTGGCTGCTCGTGTTTCTGTCAATTCTGACCGAATTTACTAGCTAACCATTGTATATCATGACCCGTACTACACTAATTTTCCAAAACTTACTCGTGATTCAAGTGTAATTCACTTGTAAAAATCGAATAACGATGCTTCCTAGGATTGAACTCGTTTGGGATTCCCACTGTTGAAGAATACTCATTAGGAGGGTTGGTGTTGCCTTCGCACATTAGTGTATGGGAAATGGAGGGCAATGTTGGAACAGATTTGCCGTTCTGGAAGAGGTTGATGAATTTCTGGAACTTGTGGCACTCGATTTATATTATATTCCAAGAATATATACCTACTCAGCAGATGATAGCCGAAAAGCACTTCGAAAAGCCAATACCACCGGTACTCGACGTCGTGAAAAATATGAGCCTCGTTTTCGTCAACCAAGATCCGGTTATATCGTACGCTCGGCCGAATCTCCCGAACGCAATCATGTTCCATTCGACTCATGTCTCGAAAAACGTGGAACCTCTGCCTCGGGTATGTCTCATTTATAAACTCGTCGTCTCGGAGAATTAGAACCAAATAGCTACTGTCAGCTGTGCAAATCTTACGACCGTGTGAGAAGATTGTCGATAATGTTCAGAATTGTCTAAGAATTCTGTGTGAAGAAAGTTTCGCTTGTAGGACTTGAAGAGGTTCGTAGACAGCGCGAAAAATGGCTTCATCTACGTGTCTTTCGGCACTAACGCGCAATTTAAAGATTTCCCACTGGAGATTCGACAGATCTTTTACGACGTGTTGGCCAGATTGCCTTACAAAGTTGTGTTCAAGAATAACGACAACCCAAAGTCACATGACAACATTTACTTCGCAGAATGGATACCTCAGCAAAGTATCCTCGGTATATACAGTACCGTTTATTAGAAAATTCTGTTTCTTCCACTGAAAAGTCTTCGACCGATTCATTTTTTTTTTTTTTCCGTAGCTCATCCAAATATTAAACTGTACATATTCCAAGGAGGTTTGCAAAGTACTCAGGAAGCTATTTATCACACGGTACCAGTCCTTGGTCTCCCAATAGCATCCGATCAAGAATTTCAGCTTAGGGTAATAAGCTCTCGCGGGATTGGAAATTGCTTGTATTTCGAGAATTTGACGCCAGAGATGCTGGAATCCACTATTCTGGAAATGATACCCGATCCAAAGTAAAGTAACCATTAAAATAAAAATTTATTATGTACATATATATTCTTATATATACCTAAGTATAGATTATTAAGTATGCATTTTTTTACACGCGATTAACTAAATATCTTATCGTATAGTAACACAATTTTCAAATTTTTGCAATCAGAACACAACGAATAGTTACAATCGGAACTCATAAATAACACATAAAAATCTATCAATATTCATGCGTTCGTTTTCATTTTCAAGGATGCATACAAATCAATCTCATACTGTTTCTTGCAAACATCAAATATTTTCAATCGCTATTTCTACTCGGTTCTTTCATTTTATCGCGTCAATTTTTCCAGGTACAGGAAAAATATGATTACGCTTCGCGGGCTCGTTAACGACACGCCGTACAATATGTTGCAGAATCTCGTTTGGTGGACGGAGTACGTGATTCGTAACAAAGGTGCATTGCATTATCGCACGAATTTAGCTTCTCTGCCTTGGTACCAGTACTGCGACATGGACATCGTCGCATTTTTGGCGATCGTAGCGTTTATCATCGCCTCGATTGTGCTCACTATATGTGTCCAACTTTTCACGTTCGTCTACAAACGGACGTCGAATGATTCTGTAAATCTGACGAAAAAGAGAAGTTAGTTGTTCATTATTCGAAGAGTTCGGAGAGATTTTTCAAGTGAACGCGTGACACGATCTTGTCGCGTATTTCGTAGAATTTATAAACGGACAGAGCAAAACGGTCATTGGTTGAATATCGTAGATTTTTAGTGAATTGCAGTTCCGTTTACTACTTTTAACACGTGCGTTTTATACAGAGATACCGAGAATTTTTAATTAAATTAGTTCACTCGTTACATATTCTACCACACGAGCCCACTATCCGCAGAAAATTCAGGTTAAAGGTTTGAATTCCACTGCAATAAATGCCCGGCTTTAATTAAATACCATGCAACATCAGTGGGTTACTGCAATATTCCTGCGGAGAAGGAGAGACAAAACGTTTTGCGAAATGATATTCACCCGAAGAACAACTTTAAATCACGTTAATCGACGCCACGATATATCTCCATAATTCAAATGTCATTTTAACGAATAAATTACAATCACAAATGGAAACTGTCTCTTGGTTACTTCACCCTGGCACGATGCTCGGGTCTCTTTTGACCCGTCACTTTTTCATTTTATTCATCATTTTTGCTGTCATCCAGCTTGTTTGAGCTTCGCGTTACGTTTCTCGCGAGCACTCTGACTTAGTTTTAACTTAATAATTCTAAGCCTGGTTGAAACGATTGATTTTAGTCGTTATGGTATGGCTATGTACGATTTGTTTCGCTAGTGTCCCCTTTCTTTCCTTTCGAGTCCCTTTGATTGATTTTCGATTTTTTTTAACTGATTGTCCGTGCTCCGCGCAAACTTATCCTTAAATAGTGCGTGCGGAGGGCAGTGACGGGGGATGACACACACGGATTGGTCTGTATAATGAAATGTTAAGTTGGGAAGGGAAGACGGTCGGGTTTTTTGATTGGTGGCAATCACCCCCAAGCTGACCGTCTCCAAGTCCCTTGGTCACCCCTAGGTACCGAGGGCACCTTCGAGTGATGTCAGGGAAATTCCGCGTGTCTCGACCGTAGCAGGTAATAACCTTATGAAGCGCCTTGACCCTACTAAACATGCGAAAACTAAATTCAAAGGCGAAAAATGTTAATCCGTGAACAAAGGACGAAGGTGCTCGTCGAAGACATTATGGAAGGTAACCGATGGTCGATGGCTTCATTAACTCATTATTGCTACGGGCCAGTTCAGAGGTTCGTAGAAGATTGACGCTAACAGTTAAACTCTGAACTGGTTTATGGCGTGTCGTTTTGGAGAGAAAATTAAATGTGAAATCGGACTCAACACAGCTAATGTTCCCTTAACATTATACCGAAAGTTTGTCATCTATTGTTGTTACGTGAATGTCATCAAAAGTTTAGTATCTATTTAGGTTCACATGGCTTGCCGGTAACGAAAACGGTAACACATCAGATCTTTGGGTCTTTTTTGACCCAAAAGTGTACAGTCGAACGAAAGAGCGCACTAAGGTTAAAATGAAATTAAAACGAAAAGAACTTTAAAACAGCAGTTCTTCGAGTTATCCAGGACAAAAACACAACGGCGAAACGTGGATGGTTCCGTTGCTACAGTAAACGAGGGATCGAACAGAATCGGAACGCCTCTTCGTCGTGTCGCGGCGAGAAGATTATCAGAAACCGATAAGAATGGTCATTCTCCTCTTTCTTTAAGTACTTTCCGCTCACGAAATCTTCGCTACAGGAAGTTTCTTTGTTTCAACGTTTGATAACGTGCCGTCCTCCTCTCGGTCGTCCGCGACACTTTTCCAGATCCAAGGTAAAGGCAAGCGCCTTGAAGAATCGCGATGTCGCGAGACGATACTGGCGCGCTGAGCTGTTTGTCAGAGAAGCTTCGAAACCGAGTGGAATAACGGCCGGGTTGGAGAAAAAGGGGAAAAAGGAGAAAGGGAGAAAAGTGCAAGCTGCTTCGCCATTGTTTCCTGCGATTTTCCGGCGGTTATTGTTTCGCGCGTCGCCATCGCGAACTTTTACAATTACACCGTCGACGTCTGGAGGATCTTCTCTCGTTGCTCTTCGATTTCCGTGCGTACTTCACTGGTGGCCCTGTGCCAATACAAAAGACTTCTTTCGTTTATCGAATTATCGACTATTACGAGCTCGAGAAGCTGGCGTGTGAGGATGAATTCGAGGAAGAAAGGCTTCCTGGATTCTTCTGAATTTTCGAGGGAATTCGTGAATGAAGGAAGTCTTTAACGCTAGGTTTACGAGACGCGAATATTTTCACACATTTTCAATTTCACAAGGAAAATTACAGAAACTGTTTACATTTCTTTCGTATCACATAGTTTCGTTTATAAGTTAATAGAGTATAATATGTTGTTTCTAAATTAAATAAGTTGTTTTTTAAAGAAAATGTGCGGTTTCGTTCACCTGTCAATTGGACGTGTGTCCGTAGAGAAAACTATATAAGAAATGTCCGTGAACCTAGTGTTAATAATAGTGTTTAATGGTTTCTTGATTATTATTCTGCCTTCCATAGCAACAATTTTCGCTTTTTAGGTAATGTTACAATGTTCTGTGTTCTTTAGGGATCTAGAAACAGTCTAATTTATTTATCCTAATTCTTTTAAGGCACTTTCACTAATTTGTACCTCATTCTTCTCGGATGTTCGAAAATGTTAGTTAAGACAGTTAAACCAAGGAAACTGTAAACGTAGCTGTTCAATTGCTATTAGAATACTGAATGAAATCACGAATAAATCCATCCATATTCCGAACGACGTAACGTTATAAAATGCACGTTACGCAATTCACAAAGACGAACTCGTTTAACCACAATTCTTACCAGCTGATCGCTTGCCCGTCACTTTACGCTTCCATTTCCCACGAAGCTTCGTTCCACCGATAACAACTCTTATCAACCGTTTCCCACCGTTCACCGGTAATCACTGTCTCTATAGCAACAAGACAGGACGGCGTGAAACGCGGAAATCTACTGGAGAACGCGCGAAAAGACACTCGTGTTTATAACGTTAAAAGTGGCGCAACGTTGTTTCCAAGAGAGAAAAACTGCTTACACCGAGGCGACTGGAGAGAGAGAAAAGAAAAGAGAAGAAATTCATCCCGTGAATGCTGCAGGAAGAAAGGAGGAAAGGATTAACGAGGACGCATGGAATATTTAACACGACAATCTCTTTTCATTCCCTGTGTCTACCGTTCGTTCTGACGTATTTTCTTTCGCGTAATTCCTCTTTATTTTCCACCCTCCCTCCACCCCTGTCCGTCAGCTTTTCCCCGTCGCGTGTCATTCGAGCCGCTTACCCTCCTTCGCCTCCTTCCTCCCGCCCCTCGTTTCGCTAATAAAATTAGCCGGATACAACGGCACTTCCAACGTGGCGGCCGTTGTCCTCCGAATTTGCTCAGCTCTCCGAACGCCGGATAGATAATCCCCCGCATGGGATTCCAAAGCACGGATTTCCGGGCCCTCTGCATATATTATACGCGAGCGTAATATTTACCCTGGGGAACGGGGAGGATTCTTGAGGATTCTCCGGGACAGCTTTAGGCTCGGTCGATTTTATTTCCGCCGCGTTCTTCTTCCTTTTTTTCACGCCGCGCCACGACCATTACGTCTGTTTGCACGGGGCTACCTGTAGAAATTTGCCGGTGAACAGGACGGAGTGTCGTAATTGTAGGAATAATTCTGGTCGATTAGGATGTTTGCGGAGAGGACGCGACAGAGTAAAGGGGAAGATAACGAAATGATCGAAATACGGATGTACCGGAGCGATTAGAGAAGCTTCATCTGTACCACGATCACCTTGCCACGTTGTAATTAATGCCTGGTCGCAATTTCGCCCATCACGAGGTCTTAATGGAACGCAAGATGACGCGTTCATCGTGCCAGAGCGTATTCAGTATCTCGGGATAACGAGGATTCAGACGTTGCCTGATGATGCCAGCCGAGTGTCTTGGCCGGGAATTAATCCTCCGTAGACAAACATTTTTTCACACTCCGCAGGCAAATTTGGTCGTTTATGTCCGTGTCTGTGTTTCTTACTGTTCTGGGCTTTGGAAAAATCTGAAAAAATTCTGAGACACTTATCGAAGTCTGTTGCTGCGTTACACAGTTCGTCAAGTCAAATGTTCAAAGCTCCTTTCAATGAAAATAAATATTCGTTTCGAAGCAACGCAAGAGTGAAATTTCGCTTGGGTCATTAATGACCCAGGTTGTCCCTTCTTCTTTATAACACCTCTGTTACACCGAAATAAAATGATGCAGGTGTAAAGACCAAACGAAGAAATAGAGATAATGTTACACCCTCAAATATTTTCCTTCTCAGTCCTCAGTTTTATCTGTATTTACAACGAGTCACCCACTTTTACCATCACTCATACTGGACTTTTCACCTTCCAATTCTCCTCTCAACTCTCCTGCATAGTCGCAACCCAAAGTCCATCTTCCCAGACCCCTTAAGTAGCCCTATTTTCCCCATTTCCGCATTCATTCTCCATTCTACCACGCGCACGTCACGTATCATCAAAAATCTCTGTCAAATAAAGTTCTGTTTCTACGCAACGGCGATTTTTAAGTGTTTTAATTCAGCGATACCCCAATATCTGCTCCTAGTTTCGAGAAATTGGAGCGAACCGGGCATCACAGTAAGAAAGGTTCGAAGAAATTTTAAGTTCGATCTCCAATATACTAAAAACTAAGTCTTCTGTGTAACGAAAGAATAATTCTTTCGAAAAATGATCGTGAAACGAAGAAGAAGCAGGTAATGGTAAGTACATTTCTCCGAAAAGCATCCACGTCGCTCTAGATCACCGTTCCATCGCGTGTTCGTGCACGCGTGTCTGTATTCGATTGTTTCGTACGATTTCCAGCACGTCCCTCGAAGCTACACGCACAATGCCGCCGAGATAATTACAGGAGCTTCGCCAGGCTGGCAAAGCGCGATCCGTTATTTTCCTTTCCTCTTCTTTTTCGTTCGACTGCCGGCTGCATAGGAAGCTGTATAAACGAGATAGGCACTCGAGCATTTACAACTCGAACCTCCGGCCCTTATCTCTATCCCTTCGTAGCTGACGCCTTATCTCACCCTCGGCCAATTCGATCTTCCAATACGGATGGGGTTAAAACGTGGCACGGATGAACGCCCGTCGAATGAACTTCCCCCTCGTAAAATGGAACCGTCGTGTTCGATGCTTGGAGGGGAAAAAATAGTATCGCGTCGAGTAACAATGAAATATGTCATCAGTGGCAGAGACATTTTATTTTCGGCGGATATTGTCTGTGGCGTAGGTATGGAGAGGACGAATGGTAATTCTGTTGATTCAGATTGTTAGTTAACGTTGATGTAACCGATAGGCAAACGTGTATTATTTTATTAAGCATGAAGAGCTTGTTTTTCTACTGTGGAAGGTTAACCGTGTTTTTGTGTGTGTGTTGACTGTGTAAAAATTAATCTGTCATTTTTCGGGCTATGTGACAAATATTTTAAACGTTACGATCGATCAACAGAAGTCGAAGTTTCGAAATATCGGTTGAACGAAGTGGAAGTTCTTAATTTGTCAAATTAATTTATTATTAAAGTGATTCAAATGGTGTGAGCAAAATTCGTGATGAATGTTGGAAATATGTTTTCGATGATCAGTCACTTAGTTGGTGTCCAGTTTTCCAGCGGCTACGATTTTCTTCCACCAGGATGCGGACTTCTTCAGGGTTCGTGGCCTCTCTGGATCGTTGAAGTCGACAGACACGATACCGAAGTGTTCACTGAAAGTTCAAATATTATTACTAATTTATCGTAATTTATTCAATCGCCAATATCTATTTCCTATGTCTCGATTAAAATATCTCGAAACTATGAATAACACTTGTTCGAAGATACGTTTTCGATACTTCAACGAACATTCGTTTGCAAGCTACTCCTCTTAATAGTAAATAAACCCCAGAGTGACAGATTTGAGCAATATAAAAAGCACGTGAACTTACAAAAGAGAAAATCGATTATTTCAAAAAGGATCAATCAAAAACGTAATTTTGTCAATGTTGTCCGTTTGTCTATTCTTTTTTTGTCAACTAGCTCGTATTGTATGTACAATTCCAAAATATTTTATTGAACGAATGAATCGATCACAGTGTGTAGTCGTAATAAAAAGTATAATACACTTACTGATATCCTTTGTCCCATTCGAAATTGTCCAGAAGGGACCACAGCATGTATCCTTGTACATTCACATTATCGACGTACATGGCGAGAAGCATTTGTTTCAAGTATTCGCGGTAATAGTAGATCCTGTCGTCGTCGTTCAAAGTTCCATAATCAGAAACACCGTTTTCGGTGATGTACATCGGGGGGTTACCATAATTTCGCGCCAGCTGCCGGAGAATATACCGGAAACCTTCGGGTACAACCTATTACACGTAACGAGCGATTAACATACCGATAAAATCTTGCAGATCTCTTCTAACCCTCTTCGTTCTTCCAAGAAAAATTAGGGTTGATTACAATTTTACATTTTGATAAAAGAGGCAAGAATAAATACAAAAAGTGTAATAATTATTACAAAAATAGAAAAATAAATATAGTGCAATAGTGTAAGAATAGGTAAATAAAATATAGCTAAATGGATACGTAACTTCCAAGTCACATGGAGTTGTAAACGGTTAAAAGCCAACTGAAATTCTTTTAACACCAAAATACACGGCCTTCGATCAAACATATTTCTTAAAGAAACCCGTCACAATCACTCACAATTAGTTACTTACTTTGAGCCACGCAGAAGCTGATCCTTTCCAGAAACTATCGGTAAGCTCTACCACCCCTTGGTCGTTTTCGTGAGAAGGAATACTGCCCATGGTACCGTTCGTAACCAGCCTCGTGGTGTAATGATTTACAGCCAAGAAGTCGGAGGTACCTCTGCGGAAACAAGCATAACACTCGACACCTATTCTTCCAGCAAATATTCCCATAGAAAGGAAACTATCCCGTACCGTATGTATTCGACCCATTCGGGGGTGAATTTGGGCAGACGAGACCTCGCGAAGCCTTGTTTCGAGCTCTGGCTGTCCACCATGTTCCTCATAAGAGGCGGATAGTCTCCTTTTTTCGAGTAGATCGGATGCAAGGTCCAACCGACGTTGAACTGGAAGGAAACTTCGGCAGCGTACTCGTCGTCGGCGCTTCTAGGCATGTAGCCGAACAGATTCACCAAGACACCGACTTCGCCTTTCTTGTCCTTCTTGAATTCGCTTTCGTATATCCTGTAAGCTCTGGCGTGAGCTTTAAGGACGTTGTGGATGCACAGGTACTCGCCGAAACCGGGCAACTTCTTGCCAGGTGCGTAATTGCCAATGGTATAGCCATTTTTACAGATTGCGCTGGGCTCGTTCACCGGGATAAATTTCTTCACCTTCGACGCGTACTCTTGGAACACTATTCTCGCGTAATCGCCGAACCAGTCCACTATTTCTGAGTTCAACCAGCCACCGGCGTCCTCGATAACTTGCGGATGATCCCAGTGATAAAGCGTCAGCACTGGTTCGATGTTGTTCGCCAGAAGCTCGTCTATTAGGCGATGATAGTACATGACACCGTCTTTGCTCACGTAGCTCGAGAAACCGGTTGGCAGAATTCGTGGCCAGCTGACGGAGAATCGGTACGACTTGAACTGTTAGGAGGATAGTATGGTTCGTTAATGCGTAAGTCGATAGTTAACGGTGATTAGAGTTGTCGAAACATCGTGCAGCATGAAATACTAAACGAGCGTGCATTTCTATTGTTCGGAGTTGTGTAGAATTATGTCAAGTTGGTCTCGAAATTGTAACACGCTGCTCGAAACTCGCGGGTACGAATTTTTAAATCGCGTAACTTCTCGATGTGTTTCGGCAAACTCTGATACTTGTAGGGGAGCTCGAGAGGGACATTTGACGTAATACTGGGGTAACGTGAGCTTTTGATTTACCTAATGCAACTCTGAGAGCAGTTTCGGGGAAGAAACTTTCTACTTTTAACTCGCTCCAACATTTAGCGAATAATTAGGTTACTGATTTTGTTCTAGTAGTGATCGTTGGTTGTATTTTACTTTCGGTGTAGGAATGAGGTGGGATTTTTTATTCTTTTTTTTACTAAGATCCTGAGATTTTAGGTCTACCGAGGTCTACTAAGATCCTTCAATGTATACACAAAGTGTATTTTTAACTGGATACAGAGATTCTCAGAATAATTCCTAAACTTTTTGACCAATTTGGTCCAAATTTTCAAACTCTCTAGAAACTCACAGAAAATATAATCTACCATGAAACCTAGATACCTCTGCTCCTGACTTCGCTATACACACAGACGTTCTATTTTATAAATAATAAAAGATATGAATTAATTTGAAGAAGTTATTACTTGAATTTCACATTTCATCAAATGCTGATATCCTAGATACACTACCTGCCAAAAGTTTGGAATCACTGTGCATTACAAGTTACACAAAAATTCGCAGAAAAGAGTCGGCAGCTTTAAGAACTTTTTAACGAATTTTGTATCATTCGAGATAAATTGCTATTTATCTCCACAATATCAATATCAAGTCTACGAAAAATTGGTGGCAGATTCGGTACTGATGAAAATTGTGAGGTGATTCCAAGCTTTTGGCCGGTAGTGTATAAGAAGCCCTAGCGAAACCTTGTAGAACTTACTGAAAATATAATCTACCATGAAACTTGGATACCTCTGCTCCCGATTTCATTATGCACACAGATATTCTATTTGATAAATAACAAAAAAGATGAATTAACTTGAATTGAATTAACTTTCATATTTCAGCAAATGCTGATTTCCTAGATATAAGGAACCTTAGCCAGAGTGAAATTGAAGCTAGTTTCACATGAAATTAGTGATCAGAATGAATAAAATTCGAGTTGTATATTCACCCCAAGTTGCTTCACCAATGCGACATCCTCTTTGTACTTGTAATAAGAATTCGCGGCAACGTCTCCCGTGTCGTTGTTGTAAATACGGCCATCCTGGTAATGGGTGTATCGATCCCAGGTACTTTCTCCTTTGTCTGGGTTTTCAAGACGCAGCAGAAAGCATTAGAGAAGTTTGCAGATCTGAATGTGGAAATTTGAATTTGAGCAACCTACCGCTCACGTTCCAAGCTCCTTCTATTTGGTATGCGGCTGTCGCAACTCCCAGGAGAAAGTTCGGTGGGAACTGTAGGTATTTCTCATCCAGCTCCGCAGATTCGCCACTTGCGACGCTAGAAAAGACAAGCTTAGAGTAACTTGGCGATCTAGCGAACAATCATCTATTCTAACAGCCTTTTGCTCTTCGTCAAGCTTGAACGTAGCGAAAGAAATTTCTCTTTCTTTCGCACCTCGAATTATTTCCCTACTCAAATTCAAAGGGTTGTCGAGTGAGAATAGAGAAATCGAGAGAAATAATAATAGAAATAGAGAGAAAAATGAAAATAATTCGAAAATCGTTGAAAATTGCGGAGTAAAAACGAAGTAGCTTGCCAAGGGAAAGGGAGGAAACGAGATACTCACAAGGCAATGAGGAAAAGTATTCCGTATCCCAGATACATGGTCGCTAGCATGACTGCTGATGGAGTAATGAGTGCACCGATGTTCCTTACGTGTCACTTATATATGTTTAACTTTCCTATGTTATCGAATCTCGTTGATAATATAGTTTACGGAATGTTTCCGTTGCCTTTTTACCGAGATGATGATATCTACAATTATAACCAATTAAAATTTCAATGACTTTATCAAAATCTCTTCTGGCTATTTATCGAACAACGCGTTATCGTCCTATTAAGTATTTCGGAATATTTTCTTTCTCTCGCTTCCACTTGAATGCAAAAGCACATCCCTCCCCCAGTTTCGTCCAAACTTTATTCGTTTACCCTGTTAAAATCATCCTTCGACAGATACGATAGAATCGTATTAGAGCCAATTCGTTTTCCCAATTTCTGTCTGATCGCTGTTCATTCCACCGAGAGGCAAATAATGGTAATAACGACAGACGAGACGATGGCAGACAGAAATAAGACAAACGAACACGTTTAAGAGACCTTCTCGTGGCGCATCGTTCCCTGGCTTCGGAACACCTCGAGAAAATCTCGTCAGCGGGAAATACGTATCCTGACAGGTAATCTCCGTGAAACATTCGGCTTCGAGGTTATATAAGCGGGATAGAAAAATCCGCAGAGAGGCACGAAAACTTTGTTGCGAGTCGAGGACGCGACCAGCCACTCCTCCTCCTGTAACCGTCTCGCACACCCCTTTTCTTCATTTTGTTTCCCGATATATATCCCGATAGGAAGAGTACGGTGTACGTCGGGAGGCGCAGCTTTACGACAGTTTGCAAAGAAAGTGGATCATGGGGTGTTCTCTCCGTCTAGATAGCGACGTTATACGTGTGACGAGCGACGGTGTCAAAGTGAGTCGAGATCGAGTCGTAAGGAAATTCATCATACGAACGACGGAGAGTATTATTCGAAACGCAATGTTCAGATTATTTGTTGGCGACACGTGTTCGCGGATCACGTGGCGTCAGTAATTTTCCCATTGCTTCTTTTACAAACTATAAACAGATAAGGCTTCGGTACGATCGTGTTTTGATCGCACAAGTGTGTCCCTGAAGCTTTTACGAAACGTTTGTGTATGTTTTGTACGTGAACTTTCTGCGGTTTAACATTACTAATGGGGGATCCGAGAGAGAGGACTTAGAAAGTATACGGTGCATCTTCTATTACGTATCTTATTATAATTATGAAGTTTCACTGTTGGTCCTTTTTTCGTGGTTCGAATTGCTTTAATTCAAAGTATATGTAGAATGAGTCATTTTCTTAGGATCTTAATTATTTTGTAATGACTTCTGTGAGTTAAATAATTTTGTGTTACACTTGTAGTGACAGAGAGGCTTGCTTTATATTCAGTAAGCAGATTTTAGTAGATTTCTGTAGGTTTCAGAAGATTTCAACAGATATCAGCTAAATACAGTAGATATTAATAAAGTTCAGCAGATTTCTGTAGATTTCAGCAAAGTTTAGTAGATTTCTGTAGGTTTCACAAGATTTCAACAGATATCGGCAAAATACTGTAGATGTTAATAAAATTCAGCAGATTCCAGCAGAGTTTAGTAGATTTCAATAGACACCAGTAGAATTCCGTTAGACTTCACGTTCAGTAAATGTCCCAACACCTAATAAACCTTTTATATCGAATTTCGTAGAGTCGGTAGCTGGTCCATCTTGGACTTCATCCTTGAAAGGATTAATTCCCCAGGTAAGCTCGAGCATTTACCCAATTTCAAGCGAATGAAATTTTCCGCTCCGCTTATTAGACTAACTGATACTTTGTTAAGAACATCTTGTTTTCTAACTGGAGATTTTCAAGTCGGAAATCTGGCGTTACCGGTGTCTCGGTCCTGCCGGCGGAAATGCTGTCGGATGCTGCACGTTGCCTGGCCCCCCGCACACCTCCGGCTTCCTTAATTGAAATATGATTAAGAAATGTTGCCGCGGCAACCGAGCTTCCCCACTTTGCCCATTGTCAGAGGTAATTCACCTCTTTCTTCGTGGATAATGCGATGAAAAAGTTTCCACTTCTTTCCGCTACGTTTCGGGTCAACACCGTGCACAGAAGTTCGGTAAATAGGCTCCTGCTGATTGGCTACAGCTAACCTGCCGTTCTGAACTCACCAACTCCGAGATAACGGGCAAAAGGTGGCTGTCTCTTTCTCTACCCTTGTTCCACAATACCCTCACGTTTCTCTTTCAACCCTGTTTTTTCCACGAGTCGTCGTCGTCGTCACTGAGAGCGGAGTCGCGTGTTCTTTTGCAACGCTTTCGCGTTGAGAAACGAATCGCGACATTGCACAAAGAGGAAGAGGAACAACGAGGGTAAAGCGCGAATCTTTGCACTTATGTTAATTTTATTTCTCGGTGAGTGACAAATTTCGAACGAGGTCGTCGCGGAATCATTTTTACCACTTTTTGTCACTTTTTCCTTCTCATGCGTGCTTTTTAAGAGAAGAAAAAGCGACGAGTCGTGAGAAGTGAAGAACTTTATTATTCCTTCAGATGTTAATTCCGAATTCTGCTCGTTATTACTACACAGTCGTTATTGCAGGTCGTTCGAAATTGCTAATTAATATGAAAATTGAAAATTACGGGGAACTTTAATTAAACACGCAATTACTGTTACTTGTGATAATTTATAATAAAGAATGTTGAAGAATGGAGGAACGGCTAAATAACAGATTGAATTTGAATAATCAAAATTTCGTTTATAAGTGAAATTTGTAACGATATCACATATTAATTACTAATTAATATTTAATTAACATGGTGAAATAGAAATCGAATTCTTTGTCCCGAAATATACCGTAAATATACTCCTATTCGAAACCGGAAATTTTAATTATCTCCTTCGTATAAAATAATACGAGTCACAAATCGAAATTCTGTTCCGACAACTACGCTGTCCGCTGTTAATTGACACGGTGGGCGATATTAAGCAAAAATCGGGTAATTTCACGCGTGTCGCGGAAACGATAACGAGGTACAAAGTTACGAGTGGGGGATGTATAAACGCGCTACTTGGACAAACGATCGAACTTGAAGATAGCATTAAGCCGGGCTTTATTTCCCGATTATCGTGCACACGGGTTGCAGTCAAAATTGCCCTTATCGTGGCAAATACGTTCGTGTCGGCCGCCGAATCTGTGTTACGTGTCGTCGTTAAATTTATACCCGCGTTGTCCTACGCTTAAATCGAAATTTCTGTCGAACAAATTATACGCGTACGCTACTCTGCCCGAAAGTAAAATCTCGCTCGTCGAAATGCAGTCAAACCGGGAGTAACTATAGACAAAAAAAATGAATTACGAAATGTATTCACTCTCTGCCGAGTTCGATGCGAAACTTCAAAAGTTGATAAACGAAAATTGGAATTACATCGACTTGGAACGAAAAGAATCGGAAATGAATTGAATTGCACAGCACTTCTGCGCTGCGCGATTAAATGCTTGTGAAAAAAGGGGGGGCAGAAAAGAATCGAAGTGAAATGAAATTGAACGAAACGCACCGTGAATAATTAAAGATGAGACGCGCAAGTTCTTGGATATTACGTCGCGGTTGGAACGGAAGCGTTCGTTGAATATTACCACGCTGAATATTTGAAGTAACTTTTAAAGCATAGCGCGCAGCTTCCGTGGCGCGCTACTTTCAGTAGAATTCGTAAGCCGCAACATTTTTAAGACGAGAAATTATTAATGCACCGGTAAGCTTGTCTAAAGTTAGTAAAATGTAAAGTTTCCAAAGTTCAGCTGTGAGTTTTTCAAAGAAAAATTTCACCGTTAAAACGCACTCAAAGAATGCCAGCCGCGTTCCCCCTTGTCCACCTGAAGTATTTGTAAGATTGTGTCGAATAGAAAAGAAGAGAGAAGTTCGATGGAATTTTCGATCGACACGCCACGGCCGTAGTTTCTCGGAAAGGGGCAAATTGTTTATTAGTATCCCCTTTTGTCTTTCTTTTCTGCTTCTGGTAGATTTCAACGCGGTCTACCGTCCGTTTCTTTCTCCCTCTGTGCCCGTACATCTTTCTATTGAATATTTTCAAGCTATATATCCTTCGTCTTTTCATTCTCCTTTATTTATTTCCACTTTTATTCAGGATTTATCGGCGGCCACTATACCGCGACGTCGCCGAGTAAATGCACTTCTAACGATTAAAAAAAGAAAAAGGCGGAAGAAGAATTGCTGTGGATTAGGTGTAGAAATGAATTCTTTCCGACTTTTGGGTACGACTAGAGTTTTACTTAAAAAGAATGAAAATAGATAAAAAATCAAGATAATTTCCATTATTGTTGATGACTTTTTGCCATTTTCCCCCCCTTTTTTTAATTAATTTTGCGAATCCAACCGGAAAGAATTCAGCGTGCGTGTCATTGACATAGATCTACAAAACGTATTTTTTAAATTTTCATCACGAGCTCAGATATAAAAGTTGTAAAAACGACCTTCGCTATTTTCTTCGCGATTCCGACTAACTGCAGTTTTTTCGAAAATTTATACAAACGTCGGAATGACGGAAAGAAGCCATTTCTCTAAGCCTTATAAAAATAGCGGTGCAAAGTCAAATTTTTTTGACAGCTATCGATAACCGAGAAGTCACGCGTACGGGCCCGTTCACGATAGCTCGCGGGTGAATCTCTGTTCGCCCGTCCCTGAGCGCGGGCTCTACGGGCGCTGTGATTGGCCAGTGTTTTTCGTTAATAACTCGAAAACGAAGCCTCAAACTACATTTTGGATAAGGAAAAAGTTGTTCAGAGTCACCCCAGATATTTCCGGGTGCTCGAAGAGTTACGGGACACCCTGTATATCTAGACAATATGAATTATAGGTTGTTTGTGTACACAAATGGAGCACAAGCAGCAAGTAATTATAATTAGCCGCAATCGTTCGCTCTAATTAACGTTATTAACGTCGATAGCAGTAATTAGCGTATTGAGAAATTATTTATGCATGTTACGATGAAAAGTCAAGAAATGTCAGATGTGTCTTATCGTTCATCTACGTCGTTCAGACGTGGAATTGTATTTCGCATTGAACAACACATGCTCTGTTTGATCTTGAG